GCTGAGAGCAAAGCTCTGTATTCAGCTACTGGCTGTATTTCACCTAGAAAATCTTCTTCCAAACTCAGGTGGAGGCCACATGCTTTCTTGCACTGGAGATGTCTCCTTGTGTATCCTCTTCCCTATCTGTAAGTGAGAAAGATGACCAAAACCTACCTTGTTGATGGCGTGAAAGAAATAATTTATCAATAATTGGAATTCTTTAAAAATTATCTTGGCAAAAGGAGAAGTACTTGCTATTGTTTCCCATCTCTGTGGTGTGTTAAATCTTCAAAAGCTTGCAACTAACTATAACTGCAAGACACTCTGTAAAAGCAGTTAAACTGTCTTAAAGTGAGTGATGACTCCATGATTTAAACAGCGAGTTCAAAGACACAGCTAGCAAAACAAAAAAGACAAATTAACTTGAAATAAAACATTTTTCACCTGTGAGAGTGCAATGCTCAGGGATACAACCACAGGAAAACATAGACAAGAATGCTCCTTAACTCTGTTTTCATAGACATCCATACTACCTACCCAAGAGGATAACGAAAGATGCCTGAGCCTCACATGGGAGTTTATAGGGCTATCCTGGGCCACAGAACCTATCAATGTCTCATAACAAGCTGCCTTAAGACAATTCAGTAGACACAAAATTACTCATCTAGCAAGGCTATCAGTATTTAGTAGATCTTGTGTGTCCTAGGGCTGCTGGCTGCTGTCCTGAATCACGTAATTGTTCAGGTTGGAAGGGACCTCTGGAAGTCTCTGGTCCATTCAGTTCACAGCAGGTTACTCAGGGCTGTGTCCAGCCATGTTTTGAATATCTCTAAGGTCTTCCACAGTCCCTCCAGGCCTCTCTTCCAGAGTCAGACCATTCTCACTGTGAATATTTTTTCATCTCTGACATGTAATTGGCATTTCTCTTGCTAAAAAGCTTGTGACCCCTGTGTCCCTTGTCCTTTCACTGTGCACCTCTGGAAAGACTTCAGCTCCTTCTGCTGTATATCCACCAGTAGGTAGGCTGCAATTAAATTGCTAGTCTTCTAGTCACCAGATTGAATAAATCCAGTTTTCAGCACCTCCTTCTATGTCACCTGGTCCAGCCTCCGAACTAGCTTGGTGCAAAACTAAAGCAAGTCCCAAAGGGTTGGAAGTACAGGACACAATGTCTTTCTTGTACTGGGGAGTCTCAATCTGCACATCAGAAGCAGCCTCACAAGCGCTGAATGGAGGGGATTCATCACTTCCCTTGACCTTCCGGCTATGCTTTTGCTAAGTGCAGCCCCAATATGCAGTCAGCCTATGCTCTCACAAGGGCACACGGCTGAATTATCTTCAACCTCTTGTCCTCCAGTATCCCTGAGTCTTCACAATCATCTAGTCCAACCGCCTGACCACTTCAGGGCTGACCAAAGCTAAAGTCTGTTTAAGGGCATTGTCCAAACTCTGACAGGCTTGGGTCATCAGCCACCTTCTAGGAAGTCTGTTCCAGTTTTTGATGACCCTCTTGCTAAACAAAAGCTTCCTAATGTCCATTCTAAACCTCCCTTTTGAACCATTCCTATGAGTCCTATCACTGGATACCAGGGAGAAGAGCTTAGTGCCTTCCCCTCCTCAGAAGATGTAGTAGGTGATGAGGTTGTCCCTCAGCCTCCTTTTCTTCAAACTAGATAAGCCCAAAGTCTGCAGCTACTCCTTATAGGACACTGCTTCCAGTCTCTTCACCAGCTTTGATGTCCTCCTCTGGACACATTCAAGGACCATAACATCCAATACTTGCATATGTTGTATTTAAAAAGCGTCTGCTTAATTAATATTCATCAAGTATTACAAAAGATTGTGAAGTGATGAACTCAGAGATCAAGCCTTCTCTCCATCTGTAACACAGGTGTAACACCTGCCCTAGCTTCACCAGGAAGCTTTTCTGAGGCCTGACTGTCCAAGCAGTCATACCAATGTATAACACCACATCTGTGCTTTACTCGAGTCCTGTCACTTTTAACCACCCTTGACAATTCCCTCCTTTTCTGTACCTGCCTGTGTGCTTCCAATCTGATGGGCACAAAAAATGTCAGACCACCATATGACATACCTGCATTTTATGTCAGTTTTGCACATCAAATTAGCCCGTAGCTTGGAGATGATGATACATATAACTCTGACAAAGATCAGGAAATTTACCTGGAGAAATGAAAGAAGGCTTTATACCACCATCAAGAAACACATGTGCATAAGGGTTCAAAAAAGCATGTATGCATGTCTAGGTCCCTGTGTATCATGTTACTCTGCAGCTGCCGAATTTGCCACGGAATTCAACTCCTTGCTAAGGAATTGTGCTCTAAATATATCTTCTGAGCATGCACAAGTCACCTTTGAAAACGCAGGCAGTTCACTAAACCAAGCAGCGGAGCTTACCTACATCTCTGTGGGGAAGTGAGACACAGTAAAGGTGAAAGCTGTCCCATTTCCCTTATTTGAAGGTCTGAGACTTCACACACAGAAGTTTGAAGGCTGTACCGTGGCTGCAGAATGTGGCATCTCTCCATAATGTCATACAATTTTCTGCTCTTCTGTAACCCTGTACCTAGAATATTATTTTCTTCTTCCCTGTACTACCTGCCATAGCTTTCCGCTCACACTGGAGTTAACTGTTGGCCTGCTGCTTTCTTATCATGTGCTGCCACTGCAACATGACAGCATGTGGCCAAATTAAACAAAATGCTAGTCATGAATTCCAGTGACAGAAAACAATTTGGTTCCATAAAATCACATTTCTGAACGAAAATGTCAGTACCCTCAAAGGTCATTAGTCCTGGGACATGCTCAGCAGCCACGTGCACATCTGCTCTTTGTACGACATCATGTTTCATTCTCATGGAAACCTGCCAGCTTGCTGCATGTGCCCCATACTCACCCCAATGGCAATGAGAATGGGCAGTCTGATGATCAGCCAATAATTCATGTTATAGTTTCTGGTCCAGCACCTAGGAAGATGGCAAAAAGAAGGAGACAAGAAGAAAAAGTTTCAGTACATGACAAAAATCTCCTGCTTTTCGTTCTGTCACAGCAGTGCAGATGGAAAACAATATCAAGGACTAGATACCAGGAAAGCACATCATGCTGACATGGAAACAGATGCAGTTGCTTCTTAGAAACACTGAATGCTTTGTACTAATGCAGCTATGATAATCCAACTGGATACTACTCGCCAGCCTTTCTTACCCACTAATGGCTAGTTCTCCTCCACAATTTTCTATGAATTATCATCAGTTCATTGTGAAGATTTACTCCATTAAAACCAAGGTGAAATTTGTCATGTGGCTGAAAGGAGGAGGAGGGGAATCTGTTTGAGTCAGACCTTTTCTGTCTGGTATTATCCTCCTCTTTCTACCCTTTTATTACTTTTCGGTCTCCAATATCGGGTCATCTTATTATTTAAGTGTTTGTTAGTTCTTTATCCCATTACCTGCTATCACTCTTCTTGTATCAAAATTTAGATCAGTCATCTATTTCATTTGTCCTTATTTTCAAAAATGAAATTCTAGTTTCAGGCAGGAGAAAGCAATTAAGGCAGCAAACTCCAGTTCCTTCAGTGTTTATGTACAGGTTTCAGGCCCAAAGGGAGTTTTAAAAGTTATAAGCAAGTATAATCAAAGATGGGAGCAATAGTTCCCAAGTTTTTTTGGCCAGCTGAGCCCTCTGACAAGTAAATAACATGCTGCAGGCAATATAATACTTCATTCTCCATGTAAGTCTCATTTTAGCTTTTTAAATTCTTGTGTTCTTAAGCAATATTGGAGAACAAACAGAAAAAAAAATTATGCCTGAAAGCCACAGTTTGGGATCACTGGTTCCAAGCGAACTTTACACTGTGGAGTGTGTACATCTTTTAGGTCCCACCCTGGCCACAGCCAGCCACCCCTGATGGTATGATGCAAAATGTGTGTGCACAATGGCCCAGGTGTTGGGGCAGTGTTCACAGGCCACTTCACCTTCTGCTGCAGCAATAGCATTCTTAGTATTTTGATGAAATAACTTGGTCAGCCTCCTGCCTTATTGCTCAGCATTACTTAAAAGCAACAGTAGTTGGTAAAGCCAGCAGGTTTCTGAGCTACGCAGGCTGCGAAACATAAACTATGAAACAGCACCACAGGAAACATAGGTTCCTTCATAAATCAAGCTCCTCTTCATCTCTAAATCTCATCTACCAAAATGCATATAAGCTCCATTTTCCTTAAGGTTTCTCAGCTGGCCTATGAAACTTCAGCATGGGAGATGTTGGTGGAGAGTAAACCCTTCTCAGCCTCGTAATGGGACAGTTACTTGAGAGAAAGTAGCAAACTGTGCAGCACTTGGTAGGGATCCATGCTACAACAACACACCTACATGTGCTCACTAGAGGGAATTGAAGAAGCTTGGCTGTGGCAATTCCATATTCCCTTGCAGGTACTGCAAGCCCAAGAACGACTCTAGATTTCATTTTTCCTTTCAATTTCAGTTTAATGCATATAACAAGTATAGCATTACAACCAGCAGCTCCACAGTATTTTAGCTGGAGAAAAAAGCTGTGCGTGTTGTGTGCAGCCATCTTATCTAAGCTGTAATCTGAGTAACAGAGGAACTTCCTAAGTAGTACGTGTGACCTAGAGCAAGTTTCATGGAGCCTTTAAAATTAATTTTATTTTAACCCCTCAGGACTGGTGGCATAACAGGCATGGCTGGAAATGGTGTTCTAACTTTCTGACTAGCTTCAGTGGAAGCAGAAACAATTTTAACATCTCCCAGTAATGATGGAGATTAAGAAATGATACTTCGCATTAGCTCTGCTACTTTTCTGTGTGTATTAATTTGCTTCCTGTAGGACAGAGCAGTTTTAGCTACTTTTAAACTTATACAAATATGTGCAATAAAAACACCATTATAACTCAATTAAAGTGTTAGGGCTATTAAAGCGTCCAGAAAATAAAATTGATAGATATGTACATGATTTCTTGTCCATTTGTGTTTTCTGGGTATTGACATACTAATAAATATACCAACACCTATTGTGTTTGGGATCTATCCCTGCAGTTTGCACAGCACCACTCAAAAGATGCTTGGCAACTAATAGCCTCAGAGCCGTGAATGGAGAATTGGTCCAGGGAAACAAATGTTGCTGGGAAGTTTCTGCCTTTGCTTATCAATCCGGTATTCTTTTTCTAAAAATGAAACCACTGAATATTTACCTTGAAGAGGTACAGCTGAATGGCTCCATTTTTAACAAAGATTGTAGGCTGGCTGACTTTCTTTCATAATTAATTTGAGACAGAAACAAAGATGTGTAAGTATCAGCTCTTTAGACATAATGTAATAACTAAGAAGCACGGTTTTCCTTTAATTTTATGTTTAATCTAGACCAAATCTTTTTCAATAGCTTCCTTTCTAAAACAGTTACTGCTTTCTAAAGGAGCTTACACTTCCACATGTAAGGAAAGAAGGAGCCAGTCTGCAAGTAAGCGCTGCAGGTTTCAGTCCTTCATTCAAATGGCTACGTTTACACGACTGCCTCAAATTCCCAGCTCTGACCACATTTACCTCCAGTTGTTCCTCATAGCCAGGGAAGTAGTTAAGTCAAAAATGAAATTTACAGCCTGCTGGCACATCCATGGTGACAGCACTATGGCAAACAGCATGAAAGATATCCCCGGCTGCTCCAGCAAACGCCCGCCCAAGGCACAGAAATCTTGCCTTCCAGAGAAGCTGCTGCACGTGGTTATTTATTGCTGTATTTTACAAATATTTATACAAGATTTAGAAAATTCAATAAGGTGCAAAATTGCCCCTTTTAACGTCTGCTAAAGGCAGTGAGTGACAGTTTTCCTTAATAGAAAACATAAATCAGCTCTGAGCACTGCATAATGTAGGAGGCTCAGCATGAGCACTTTGAATACATTTTCTGCATCGATGGGAAGATACACCCAGGAAACAGCGCCTGTTCAGAGGCCACATGTTCTCTATACCTATACTGATAATTTTAACGAGACTTGCAATACATCAGTACAGCCACAATCTTGCTACAGAATATTATCAAGTCAGCCTTGAAAAAGAAACTCAGAAAATCCTAGCATTGCTTAAGCCAGAAAAGGCAGTTTTGATTGGACTGGTTCAGTATCATGGAAGACATTAAAAAAGCGCCAGTTCTTAATACTCACAAATACCAGAAAAAAAATCTGGAGGTGGCTCTGACTACACTGAATTTTAACATTGCAGCATCTCTCCAGCAAGAATTTGTGTTGGGTGTGGGGAGTGAGGGTAAAAAAACCCCTCTACAAAAGTGCCGGATGAGTTGTTTAGAGACTAAGTAAAAGAAAGACCCAATAAACAGTATATTTAGAATAAAAATTAAATAGCATAAAGTTACTTATTTCACACAAAGGCAGCTACCCAAATATTCCCAGGCAGGCACTGTCACTAAGAGGAGGAAGCCACTTTCCTCCCTTTTGTTTTAAAAAAACCCAACAAACAACTACAATGCAATTTGCTAGATAAGCATATATAACGGCAATTTTTCAGGACAGCCACTGTGGTAACAGTGGATGAGGAGTATTTTGTGTTTTGCAGCAATCTGGTATGTGGTATAGTTGACTTCGGTAAGACTAACGTAAGCAGACAGAGAACGTGTCTTTATTTTAAGAAGATCTAAATAATAGAAGCTTAAACAAGAACGGGCAATTGCATCTCTGCTGCTAGGCATAATCTACAAATCACAGGCAGAATCCCGTGGGAGGTTTTTGCCTTCCTCTGAAGCATAACTGTAAAGGCTACTGTCAAAGGCACAGTATCAGGAGTGGTCTTGGTTGGGTATGATGACTTCTGCTGTTGATATTTTAACTACAGAAAAACAAAACATACCTTTCCTTGACCTGCAAAAGGATAGATTCATTCAGACATGCAGAAAATTCTGATCAGAGAGAAATATATGCTCCTTTCCGAAATGTTATGCAAGACCTTCAGACAAAACAGAAGCAATTATAGGAGGTTTCAGCACATTGCTAAAGCAAATCACACTGAACAGAAAGCAAACAATGACCTGCTGGTGCACACATACAGAACAAATGAGATAGCTAGAAAAATCAGAACTAAACCAACCCCTCATCTTCATAAAGGTACTTGACAGTTCCCCAGAGGATAACAAACAGCATTGGCACACCTGGGAAGAGAGGAGACAAGGTTGACACTGACATTAAGAGACAAGGAAAAGCAGAAAGAAGGACAAACCCCCCACGTAATGATGAGCAATATAATTAACTGATGGCAAGGTTGCAGCTTCTACCCAGCGCAGATGGCTGTCAACAGTGGGAGGAGGGATCTAACCTGTAAGTAATGAATACACATGACTTTTTCTGCCTGGACCCCAACCTAGCTCTTAACAGGTATGAAAAATAAACAACAGCAGACTCACCCCCAAGCTCAGCATATACCAACTTTTCTGTTGTTTCACAGATAGGCTAAGGGAATGATGTTTCTGGAAGCTCTGCTAGCCTCTATACTCATGCTAGAGAGGAGCACAATGCCCTCTGACTCCAACCTGTGCATTCACGTTTCTGCCTGTGGGTCAGCTACAATGTCTTCAGACAGCACCAAGCTCAGGCATCAGGGCCAGAGCACACTCAGCCCCACATACCCTAGGCAGTGAAGGGAAGTATGGGCACATGACATGCAGTGAGTGTGCTTGGGCCTCCCTCATCAAGAAGTTCCAATTTCAGGCTGTGGTACTGGCATAGACTTGAGTGGCTGCAGCAAAGACAGCAAAAGCATCTGGTCTTGAGAAGGGACTGGGTCCTACCCTTACCTGACTGCATGTGCTACAGTTGGTCAGTTTATCTGCAGTGTAAAAGGAAGAGAGAAGTAAAAAAAGATGGCAGTCATTGCTTGTTTTACAATATCAAAGGCTCTCAAATTAATTTCTTTCATTTATGAAACGCCTAGGCCTTGAAAAACAAATTTAAAGTTCATCTATTGACCAATATTCAGTACAGGGTATGCCAAAAAAGCCCACATGGGAGGAGAACAGGTTGAGACTCAATGAGCAGGATGAGGAATTTCTGACTAAGGATGGATCAAGATGGTCTAATTCCTCTGTGTATCTCCTTGGACAGTGTTCAATACTGAATGTACATTGTACAGGCAGAGCAACATCTAATGTGGTTTGTTATTGCATTTTTAATAACCAATATGGTAATGGACCATAAGAATACCAGTGTGCAGCAGCAAGCACTGCACAGGGCAAATACACAGTGTTCCTGACAGCAGAAGCCACAGGAAAATCAGTGATCTCTTACAGTCTGAAACTCTACAAGCAGTATCTGTAGTGGGTATTATTAGTAGAAATCTTCCCTCTTGTTGTACTGTATTATTCCTCTATTATTAGGACAGCTAAATAATACAGGTGTGAAAGACCAATTATTTTCTTTAATCAGTTGAACAAAAGGAAAAGAAAGAAGAGTAAAGAGCAGCAAGAAAAAAACCACAATAATTAGAATAACAGCAAAGATAACGAATTGAGTAGAGATTATTGGAGCAAGCAGTTGAACATATTCCACAGGTGTACCAGATACTGAAACTACACAGTATTTTAGGAGGAAAGTTACTGAGCACTCCACACTGCTTTGGTAGTGGCATAAGAGATTAAGAACAGGCTCAATGCAAATCACTTCCAAACGCAGATGGGCCTTTGATTCACAGAAATTCATAGTTTCAAATATTCCTTTCTTGACCTGGCTGAGAATTAAGACTATCATTCATTTACTGTATCAGCATTGTACTCCAGTTCTGGGCACTCAACATGCAGCTTCTCTAGAGCCTCTGAGTTTCAGTCCTACACCTCTTTCTGCTGCTACTCAAAGAATATCAGATATCTGAGAACAAACTGCACCCATTTATAGGATGCACTTATTTAAGATACAGGCTGAACTTTTTCTGGTTTTGCTTTTTACCACACAGAAAGCTCTGAAATGGATCTTTTCCCAGATAAACTAAACACATAAAGGTCTCTGAGCATGGTAACGTGTCCTTTTGTCTGTACTGCATCACTGCCAAGGATGCCAGTAACTGCAACAGCCTGTTCACAACACCTTCCGCTGTATTAATTCTTGTAGAGTGATAAGTGACAAAAAAAAAAAAAAATCACACTACATGGTAATTATGAAATCTGTCAAGTGTACTAGGAAATAAGCATGCCAATAGTTAACTTTATTAAGTTTCAGATGACAGGGGACACTGCCATCCTGCTGAGACTCTTAAATAAGGACATATTCTGAATACAGCATTTTAAGACTGATGAGTTTAAGCTCTTATTTCAGATGTAATCTGACATCACTGGTTAACACGTGGTGAAAAGTTTAACCTCAAAGACAATCAGGCACACAAACCAGATCACTACTGCTGTCATCAGAAGACCTCCAATCCTCTTTCTCTCAGAAACCATTCAGGATGGTCTCACTTGATCAACTGCTTGACATATGAAAGCAGGAAGGATGTGATGAGGAACTGAAAGAAGTGATAAACAAATAAATGAAAGAGTAAGAGCATTGACAATGTGACAAGAAAAATGAGAGGTTTTTCCTTCTAAGAAAGGAAAAGCATGAAGGAGTCTAATCCAGAATTAAGAGAAACTCCTGACAGATGCATTTCCTACCAAGATGAGTCTGGAGACAAAACCTATTTGCATGTGAAAACAGATAGGAAGTGGTCAGTGTAATGAATGCATCCTTTTGCTACAGTGAGATCCTACTGGGCTTCAGGAGGAAGGTATCTTACTGGCTCTGTTCCAGTCAGATCTTCCTTGCAATCAGAATGCAGATTTTGACACTCTGGCCAAGCTTCCTGCATTTAATAGCTTCATCCCTCCAAAGTACTCTTCCTTAGAGCAAGCTTGGATTGCCAAGGCTTGGAAGGAAGGGAATTATTTACTTTTATGGCAGTTTCCCTGCTGCAAGTGCATCAGGGTGTAAAATTGCCATAGAAGCTCAGAGAACATTCAGCTTTTTATTAACATTTTTTCTGTTTAGCCTTTAGTGCAAAAAAGTGTCTCCTGTCATTCTTCCCACCTGAATGTCACATACAGTCACTGTGCAATGTTGTTGTTTCCCCATTCCTTCCTCCTCCTCACTTTTGAATGTGAAGGGGTTCTTTTTCCACTAAAAGTTACTGAAAGATGCATACAGCAGCATTACCATATAAACTGCTCTTCTCTGGAGACTACGTTGTACAGCACTGACACAGCTGCTTGAAGTCAATGTCAAGCTCAACAACTCAGCACTTGGGCCCAGACATGATGAAAACCAAGTTCAGTAGACATCCTGATTATGAGCAGTCTGCACTTCCCAAGAAACAAACAAAACAATAAAAGTAATCACCTTGATCTCCATAGCTACACTGTATTCCTTCCCCCTTCGTCTGCAAATGTTTTGCTCTCTCTAGAAGGTGAGATCCATGGTCAAGGATTTCTCTTATGCCATCTAGTACCAGCAATGTATAGCAACAGATTTTTTCTTTTTCTCTGAGTGATAATGACAATGTGAATCAACATGCCATTTACCAGCTGTCATGCTGACCTCCAGAATGAAGGGAACAACTCATCTACCTGCTCTGTCATTAGCCTATTAAGAATTTTGTTTGTTGATGCTGTTAGTGTTTCTGCTTCCCTGCTCCCCACCGGCTTTGAAAATGGCATAAACCACTGTTTTTGCAGCAAGATATGCGGAACTTGGGGTTGACACAAATGTATGAAAGTCTGTTTTTACAAAGAAAAAGACAAAAGGCAGACATTTTCCACTTTAAATCAAGCAGGAAAAAAAATAACACTGCCATCTCAAAGCCCAGTATGGCACAAAACCTTGTCAAGGAGTAGCCATTATAGGAATACAGTTTTCTCACAGGTAATCAGGAAGGTTTATAGAATTCTTTAAATTCACATTATGATGACTCTCAATTTGTAAAACTACATTAGTTTCCTTAGGTCTATAAAGATTTTATAACTTTTCTAGTTTTTGCAAAGTACAATAACATGAGATAAACAGCTTTTTCCCATTATAAAACACTACATCAGCAAAGAATATTTACTTGTTTGAACTGACACTAAATGGACTACCATCTAATGACACTAAGAACTGACCTGAAACTATCATATAGCAAAAATGTATTTAGGAAACGTTTATTATTTTTTTCTTTACACTCCTCAATGCCTGGTAACTTTTCTGAGGAAAACACAGGCCGAGTATGGAATCTTTTACATGTTTATACTTGAAAAGCAGGTTTACTCTTTACATGTTTTGAATTGAGATGAAATGATCAAGTTAGACGTAACATGGGGGAAGTACTTTTTTATTTAAACAGTTACATGAACTTTTTTTTCCCCTTGCTATATGAAAACACAGTACTATTTAATATAGCAGTTTAAAAGATTGAAGAGAAATAGGGATTGGGACACCTACACCTATTTGAAAGCTGGCCCTTACATTACAGTTCTGCTTGGGATTACCTGAGGAAATAATTGCTCTAGTTTCTTGTTTGTTCTGAGACCTGTTGTTCCATGAAATAAGTACAACAGGGTACATGAGTATGTGCAAACACTCAGGTGAACAAACACCTCGAGGAAAATGCACAGCTTTATTCACATGTACATTTGAAAGAAGTACAATTGCAAACATGTGATCACATAGGAGATTGCAGAAGCTATTCAGACAGCAAAAGCAATCTTGTATGGTGAGTGATCGCAAAACTCAGTTATAATTAGAAGGAACAGCAATATGAAATGACTAACACCCAGTAAGTTTATAAACAAAACATAAAAATTTCTTTAAACATAAATATTAATCAAGACATAAGTAAAATAAATACCCTGTAAGAGGATAATTAATTAACTGAACAAAGGGTTAGGGTATTAAATCAGTTCTGACAATTAAATATGTATTTATTTTTTGATCCAGTTTTAATTTTACAGTTGATAAATTATTTCAAAGAGCAGGAATCTCAGCTCAGGCAGGAAGCTACTGTCTCCCTGAAGCCTCCACATTATGCTGAGGCTCTGATGCTGTTCAAAAAAAAATTAAATCTTCCGAGCATTGCATACAACAGAAAGGCACGTTGTGAGGGACCTGAGCATCCAAAAAACAGAATCACCAGTGAAGAAGCAAGAAAGAGTCAAAATTATCTTTGTATCTTTCCACTTGTTAGTGGTGAGTCTGTTACCTGGTATAACTAATCTGGGACCACTGAAATAGCAGGTGCTTCTGCATTTGAAGATGAGGAATCACTCACAAGGTTTGCACATGCAGCCGTGGCTGGAACAGCAAGAAATTGTACAGACGAGGGAAGAACGGCACGGGCAGAGCTCTTCTAGGAACCTCGGATGAATCATAGAACGTTAGGGGTTGGAAGGGACCTCTAGAGATCATCTAATCCAACCCATATATCCAGTGCCAAGTTCTGGCATTGCCACTCAATTCCACATGTGAATTTCATTTGGAAATTCAACATACAGTAGTAAAACTTCAACGGTAAAGAAAGAACAAAGAAGAGTGTCTTCTGGTTTTGCAGGAGACAGACTCTGGACCAAAGCTATCCTAACCTATACTTACAAAACAACACAATATCACCCTCAGGATTTGGCTAGATGTAATTCTACTCTAATTTTGTTTCCATTTTATGTCAAGACCTCAGTTAATACTTCAGGATAGATCCTCCATCTTTTTTTTTATTTCAATTGAGGTTATGGCTATTCATAACATGATTAAAACATACACAGTTCAAGTGTTAGACAAGATGCTATTGCTTTTGCTGCACGTCCTATATAAAACGCTAAAAAAAGATATAGAACTTTTTAAGTAAAACTCTCCAGCAGAAAACTGCTATTACTTGCATTTATTTATTCCCATCAATGTGTTGGAAAGCCTTTGCTTCTCATATATCACTGTTCAGTAGAATTGAGTAATTCACAGTACACCACTTATATGGATTTTACCAGTGGAATAATTTGCTAGAACATTCACAGTTTCCAAATTCATAGAGAGAGAAGGACAGGCAAAGCAATTTAATGTTCAAACGAGTATCTGGGAAAGTACTTGCAGTATTTATTTGGATTTACTTTCAGTTTTCCAAAAGTTGCCTGATTTCCACCAAAAAGGGAAGTGAGGGGGGGAGAGGCTGTGAAGGAGAGGAAGGGAGAGAATGCAATAAAAGCACACAAGAGATCATTCCAAAAATAGGATTAATCCTGAACAGTAATTTATTTTCAGGCTAACTGGACAGTCAAAGAATCAAAGCTTTAGCATTTCTAAAGAAGGTAACTTTGGCTCAACCAGCTGATTTCAAGACATCAAAGCATTCATGGCATTAAGTCCTTAATCTCAAGCAGACACGTGCCCATGGCACGTGCACCCTGACCGCTCTTTTGTCCACCAATCACTACCTTGACCTCCTCTGCCCACATAACCACTGCTAGCACCCCTTTGCTCATCAGCTCCTTTGCATCCTCCTACCTCATGCTGCCACAGTTTCTCTTCTGTTTGACCAGATACAAGTTATCGTTGCTATTGTGCACCACAAGTCAAGATACCTCTGAATGCAACAAGAAACTTTCAGGAAATGAAGCAGGGCAGTCCAGCAAAGACCACACTCACCTGGAATCACCCACATATAATTTGTATTGGGATGATATTGGGACAATGTCTTGCAGGAAAAGGACCATGTCCCTGCCACTGCTGTGGGGAGTTTCTGTGGTGTCACACAGATTCTGTATTATGAACCCACAGCCTGCATGATGCTGCAAGCATCCAGGACCTGTGCCAGCCCAGCACCCTCCAGTTCAAACAAGGTAAGAGTGCAACAGCAAAAAGGGACTGGAGAGTGTGGGACTTCAACCAGGCAGCACTACAACAGACACACATTATTTTTCCCTTTTGTATCATCTGCCCATGCATGGAATCACAGGTGGGCATATGGAAAGATCAACTTACCCCAGCCGATGCAGAGATAAAGCCGAAAAATCCTCTGCTCAGAAAAGACTGACAGTACCAGCAGTGTGTACAGGTACATGCCTTCCACCAGCAACCAGTAGTAGTTTGCAGCCACACAATACTGCATCATCACAAAGACCAAACGGCAGCTGAGCGATTCCTGTGGCAGAAGAAGGTACAGCCCAAGTGAATGCATCAGGGGTTGAGAATGAGAGGATACTAACCCAAAAGACTGCTTCTTTCTCCTACTCTTGCTCCTCAAAACAATGCTTGCTAAACTAATCATGTTTGAATACTGAAGGGTCAAAAGCCAGTAAAATAGGTGCTACACAGAGAACAGATGCTTTCAGCAACATTCCTCCAAATTACATGTTCTGCATTTTCCCTCAATAAGCAATGGATTATAATTTGAAAAGCATAACATGAAGATGAAAAGAGCAAATGAAAGGTACCATATCAACTGCAGTCAGTGAATTTTTTCACTTCCCCAGATATTCTGTTCTGTGGCTTAGAACTTCTCTTAATTAAAGAGCAAACAGTGAATGCCATAATGTTGACTATTTTCCACAACAAAAGATTTTTTGATAGAACAGGAACATTGCTGAACACATCACATTTAGTGCAAAATCTCTCTTGGTTGGTAAATTAGAGAGGTGGTCAGCAGGGCCTTAGGTTAACTATGAAACCTGAGTACCTAACTAATATATCCAGCATTTGATGAAACCACTACTGGATAAGCCATGTGTAAAAACATAAAGCCTAGGGGGGTTTTTTTGCCTTTGGGATGAGGAAATAAATGACAATCCAATGCAAATATTTCCAAACCATTTAAGGTATGTATTACAACATTATTTTCTTCCAGCTGATACACTGCAGATGAGAAGAAATCAACCATCGTGAGATTCACTATGTGGTATTAGTGCTTAAGCCTCAGGCAGTGTCTGAAAAGGATGGGTATTACGTATTTATCAGAACATATACCCTTTACGACCCCAATCCTTTATTGCAATAGAGAATGCTGTACTCATGTTCTAGAATCACAAGAGCTATACAAATAGTAAAAATTCCTCTCTTTGAAGATTCAAGCACATTTTGTATTCCAAATTTGAAAGGGAAAAAGGTGTGCTTCCATCATATTCACAGAAGAGCTGTATATCCTCTCCCTTCTATTAGAAGTATTTAATTAGCCTGTTCCTCCAAAGCTTTTCTAAATGCTTTCAAATTTGTTTTAATCAGATGCTCCCCTTTTTTCCGTCATCAACAGATTATAAAGATCTCCAAGAACAACCAACTAATTTGGTCATTATGCAAGATGGACAGTCCTACCACAAAAGGTGCTGGCTTAGGGAAATGAGTGCCCTCTTGTCACCACTAGAAGAAATGAACCTGCAGCATGGGAATATATTTGTATATATGTCAAAAATACAACTCATGTTTCTTCTGTCTAGTAGAGGAAAAGTTTTCACAGAGAAACTTGCTATGGCATCAATGACTTGCCTGTAACAAGCCAAGAGTGCCACAACCACAAGCATATACACCTTGCTCCAAGTTTCGAAGAAACTCCGTGGATTGAAGACCAGCATTTTGTACAACCTTCATTGCACAAAATGAAATTACCTGCCCTTCTGCGGACACACCACAGTGTCTGCCCCTACCTGGAAGGAGATAAGTCCTTCCCACTGGTGCTCTTGTGTGGCTGTGCTGTACATCCACTTCACCACCGAGTCTTTAATGAAGACAGATATGGCCCGAAGGATAAAAGAGGTGAAGAGATTCAGGTGAATATAATTCCTTGTGCAATGAAGATGTCTGTAAAAGGAAGAACCAGTCATGATCCACTACCTATGTGAAAACTGCAATGTCACACATCGGACTGAGGGAGGCAACAATGAGAGCCCTGTTGGAAATCAGGAGGTACCAGAGGAAATCCCACCACTTGAGAATGGCTGTAGGGCTTTCAAATGGTCTTTGGGAAGAAATCATTATCAAGAAAAAGACATCCAACATTTCATCCCTAAGTGTAAATATTTGGTGGGAGAAAAAAGTCAATGTGTACGGAAAATAAATATTTCAAAAGTTTAAAAAGTATAAAAGTAAAGTCATTTTCAGACGACATATCTGAAAATACTAAGGAAAAGTCAAGTTTCACATAATGCTGAATCTAATCTCTTTGAACTGACCTCAGTGTCACTGCACAGGTTTACTTTGGCAAAGCTCAGAAACTGCTGTGCAGTACAGCTTCTGGCTGTGCTCAAACCCACAATGAAAAAACATCTACCTATAAATTGCTGCTTTGACAACGAGACAAATCAGATTGCCTCCTGGGGGAATTGCAAATACTTTCCAGAGAACTAGAAGGAACAGAATTGTCACCTCTGCATTCAGAATTAAAAAAAACCAACCACACAACAAAGCAATCAACAAACCACCAAAACCAAAGAAAAAAGTCCTCCTGAATTTCAGCAGCCAGCTGCAAAGACAACGAAATTGCTACTTGTCAAAAAAGAACATGTTAAGGGATAGCAAAGGAATCTGCAGTCACGTAAATGGCATCCAACTGCAGAGTGCTGCCAATGTTTTATCAGCCTTATCAACAAACAGTTTTGCTCCAGTGCTGCAGGGGTATGCGCTTTGCTTTAAAAGAAGTTACGCTGTGCATGATTTTTTTTTTGATGCTAAACCAGATTTGGTCTAGCAGTTAACAGTTTTGCAGTGAAGAAGGATTTTTTTTTGGTATATCTTAAGTCACAGCTTATTTCAAAAGTTACCTATGACTAATATTTATTTTTTTAACTCAAAATTTATTTGTTGCTACCCTTCAGAACTGCTACACATTTAAATCTGACAGGAAAAATTATGTAAATTAGCCAATTGAAGAAAACAGTTTGCAAGTAGTTACTATTTCTGCTACAGGCAATGCAAGTTATTCAAATTGTTTCAGTCATGAAGTTATGGGTCTAATTCAGTTTCCTCTGAAATTACTGACTTTTCTTCCATTTCTTTCAGAGGATGCAAAATTGGACACTAGAGATATATTGCTTCCTCTGTTGTCCCATTATGAAAAACAAATATAAAGGGTATTCTGTTGTCTAAGAACTTAAAAAGGCCTTTCTATTACAAAAGTGGAGAACATCAGCATTTTGGTGCCACTGAATTAGATTTTGATCCCTGTTTGTTGAGGTTGCAAAGCTACTGAAAAGAGTCCACAAGCAGAGGTTTCAGTCAGAATCCAGCACAGTAATCCACGCAGGAGCAGGTCTCAATGTATTTAATGAGATCCAGAACCCAGCTGTTTTCAGATAGACAATTTAGACAAGAAAGCACAAAACAGCAGTTTTACGAAGGTTCTCAGCCCCTTCAACATCTCTGAAACCTCATTTTCAAAATCAGAATCACACACTCGTGCACACCTCTCCAGCCCCTGCTTTACAGGTCAAGCTAAAAACTCTACAGGATCTCTCCACAAAAGTCAGGATATCAAAATTCCCTCTGTTATACCAGTCCTCAGCCACAAACTTGTTCTTTTTTCCCTGCCAAAAATCATGCATATCCTTTCTTCCTTCAAAACGTATATGGCTGCGTTCCGTGACCTTTACATTTGAGCTGCTAATATTACTCAAAAAGTGTCATTGATGGCTGAAACAAGGAGAAAGCACTTATCCTGGGAGACATTTGGAGACTTCAAGACCATCTGGTGTTTTGTCAAATGAGTCCCAAAGTTGCACAACTACAACACGTACAAATCCTAATTATCACGTGGCAATTACAGAGGGTGAGCATATCTCTGAATTTCTGGAGTAATTTTAAATCTTCTTTGTGATTGCTAGGCTACGCTTCTGCACTGGAAGGATGAGAGATAATACAATGTTGAAAGGTGTGGTACAATATTAGAAGGCTTGCATCAATTTAGTTTTGCAAATTAGATGCTAAAAAGTATGACTGATCTTTTTAAATATGTAAGAGGTATAAATACTTCGGAGGGAGGAAAGGAGCAGGCCTGCCTTGCTGACAGAGAGTGCTGGCATGAGAGGAAATGATCGTTAACTGGCAATGATAATTCTTAGTCAGGGAAGATAGTTTCTTAAGGATCAGAGCACTGAAGGTTCCTGACCTGATTGCAAATAAGGGCACTGGGAGATGGAAAACTACACATCTTTAGGAGGCAGCCTCATCAGCATGTGAGAGGGATGATGGGACCTGGCTGTATACAGCAGCAAGGAGCAGGACTTCATGGCAGAGAGTCCTCCGTCCCACAACAGAGCAGGATCAGATATTTAGAGAACACAAAGATGTATCTCCTGTGCTCGGCATACCCAAACTGCAAGGAGGTCTGGCAGGAATCAAGACAACCCTTAAATTTACAGAGGGAAGGAAAAAAAGAGAGTCCAAAGTTGTTCAGTCTGTTTGGTTTGATTTTTCCTCCCGCTTTTTTCTTAACCAAATCTACACAGGTTATCATTGGCACATGCAACTAATAGTCTCTTAATTTTGATGCATTCCATGCAATTAATTGGTTGGTGCATACACCTGGATGAAGCCAATATGCCAGTCTGACCAGGTGACAGCAATTTATTTCACAGAAACTTTTCAAATTTCAAAATTAAGTTCTCTTCCATAGTGCAAAAGAAATAAGAACTCCTGCAAGTTGTCCAAAAAGACAAACTGTGTCAATAATATATTTCTGCATTGAAATACACCCTGTATTTGCAGGCTGGGAAATAGGCTAGGCTAAGCTTAATACTCTGTGTAATGCCAAGCAAAGCAAGATGAAAACTTCTGTCCTAAACGTCCTCTCACACTCCAGAGTAGTGCCTCATCTGCAAGGTGACACCATGAGGGAATGCTGAAATCTCTCTCTTTTTCCATTACTTTCAGTGGAAATTTCATTGAAATAAAAAATTATCACACCAAAATCGTTCAACTGATGAAAAGCATCTGTTCCACATATTCACAGAGGTAACACTGCAAAAATTTATACATTTTTCTTGCATATTGAGAAGAAATTATAGGAAGGAACACAGAAGTGACATGAGATAGAGAAATAATGAGATGATGGAAGAAGGGAAAAAAATAATCAAATGTTCCTACCAAAGTCTGATACTATCGTATCAAAAAACATAACACCTTTTCTCCACTCCCTTCAGAGCTTTGCCAGTTACCTGAATCCAAGAAGAATGGCAGTTGCTATTACAAGGGCAGAGAAGGAAAGAGCATATCCAATGGTGTATATGATGGACAAATTCAGGAGCTGTTCTTCTGGTGCATCCTGAGAGCACATACAGGAGAAAAGAAAAGAAAAAAAAAAAAAAGGAGCAGGGGGAAAAGACGGAGCTCATGGGCTTCAGTTCTTTTCTCCCAGCTGCTTTCTAACTTTTCAACTTTTCTTAATGGTAACCAGAAGTCATTCTTCTACTTTCAAGTTTAAATGCACATATCAAATCAGTCTTCCACTTTCTGTTTGCTCTAAAGAAATAAAAATGTAATCTTAATTCCCCAGCTGCTGCCAGGTGTTCACTCAAACAGTCAAACAGTTAGGTTTTGCAGCCAGGCTAGAAAACAGATAATGTGACATTATTTCATAATACAGTTGGAGAATCATTAATTACCACACAAGGAAGTCTTAAACAGATGGCAGGAAGCACAGACACAACTCAACCCTGCAGTAAAAACTGCAAAGCTGGTATTTTCAGACTTGAACACTTAAAGCAAGTCTCCTTACTGTGTAATGAGGAGGAGTCCTTTGGCTACATCTATACTTAAAAATAAAACTAGCAAGGTCCTATTCATTGATTCTGAGGGAAAGGAAACCTTATATTCATGTAACAAAACTCTTTTCTGCATTCAAATAGTCTCTCTTCTGCCTCAACTATGCAACCTCCTCGTAAAAAACCACAGTCTGACACTATCCCATGACGTAGGTGTTACAGCACCACCTGGGAGGGAGCAACTCAGTGAGGGCCAAAGCAGAAGAAAAGAAGGTTTACTGGCAGGTCTGAATTATATTGCTCAACCTCTGAGCCACATTCGTGTTCTTTATTCTGGTTCACTTCTAAGCACGTATCTTTGTCTAAATAGATTCAGGCATTTTACTTCCCTTCTTCAAGTTGCTAATTCTACAATTGACTCCCGAGACCTGTGCTGTACCAAGGAATATATTCCCTGTATTTCAGCAGTAAGTATAGCCATTCACTGTACAGCACAGCCAGAAGGACTGAAGGTGAATATTCACATTGTTCCTCAGGAATCTGCTAGGTCGATATTCTAAAGGGAATAATATGAGCGCTGCTTTACAAAGAGAAAAGAAAAATCTTTTCAGTATCAGAGCTCAGGTAAACTATTGAGTTCTGACAATTTAAAACATCTATGAAAATAAAAATGCAGATTGTACACTTAAAGTAAATAACGGTGTTTATAAGGAATTACTTAGAGACACTTTGGATTTTGTTTTAGCAACAGCAGTAACGTAACACACAACAAACTTATCAAAACAACCTCTTGTTCTCGTGTACCAGATGCATAAAACAAAGTAGGTAATTAGGGGGCTCTTTATACATTAGCTGGAAAACCAAACAGGGCTGTTCACATTTCAGGGAGTGACACCATGTACATAGAGTTTCAGAATCCAGATCAGCTCAAGGAAACTTGGAAGCTGACCAAGCATTAACACTAGGTATCTCTCTCCTTGGCACGTCCCAACACAGCTCTGGAAGAAACCATAATGGCAAAGAAGGAACAGTCAAATGATCAGGCTTATGCTTTGCGTTAAGATAAAGCATTCTGCTGGGATATCCCCAGAACATGGAAGGCTGCAAGGAATAAGGCTGCAAATTGAAGGAAAAAGTTAAATTTAACATATTTAAAGAAACTATCTCTCTCCCATCTCCTTCTAGTCAGCAGCCATTTATTCCTTCTAAAGAAACAGGCACTGAGCAATGGGAACTCCAGAGGAAACACATCCTGTGGCACCTGCAAATTTTATAAACTTGACTGTTTTGGCTAGGTATGTACTAGTCCCCAGTACACAGGGACAGAGAGAACGTGCTCAATTTATGAGGAAAAGCATTGCCCTTGGAGGCTCACAGCATTAATGGTATCCTGTGTCATGGGAAAACATACAGCGCATGAGCTGACGCCAATGGCTGACAAAAATCCCCTGGAAATCCCTACGCTCGCCTTCATTTGGTGCCAGGTGTCTCAGCTCCCTGTAGAGTATAAAGCACTAGGGCAAGAAAATAACACTGACAAGCCTAATTCCATCACCTGCAGAAAATTAAGGTAAAAAGACAAAAAGCTCCCAGATAAACAATAAGCAGGGACTGCCCCCTGCCCAAAGGTGAAAACCAAATATCCTTCAGTTCAGTTCATCTTAATCACCTTAATAGCTGCTAACAAGACAAAGAACAAACAGTTACTTTATTGCAAAAATGCGCCAATGGAAGAAAAGGCAAAGGAATAACATTAGGTCACTCCTCCGTTTCAGGTGGGCTGTGGTTGAGCCCCCTGCACCTCACCACAGGTGGAACTACCTGGTTCACTTCTCTTGGCGCTCTCACGTACATTTAAACCTGCTCTCACCTACCCTCCACATCTTGTTCATTGAAAAGGAGAGGCTTGACATGCCTTACCATTAGGGTCATAGAAGTGAGACACCGAGGATGAGCCAGTAAAGATTACTCTGACCAGACAAAAAAGTGTGGGCAGAAATGACAATATTCTTCCTTGTTTCTGTTTTGTCCTAAGCAACAAGAGCAGCAAGAGATGGAAACTCTTACCTGGTCAGAGGCCTCACACTCAGACAGGTTCCTCCAGGGCAGGGTTGAATTCTCCTTCAGCAGCCACGTACCCTCTTGGGTGCAAAATCGGTACACCTGCCCATGCAGCACTGCCAGAAGCAAAACGAGCCACGGGGTTAGCAGGAGGAAAAGCCTCCTTGAGGGGCAAGGTGTGCCAAGCAGTATGAGGCTCAGAGCAACCTTTCTTCCTCTCCAGTCGCTCCCAGGGCTGGAGGGGAAGCTGCAGTGTTTCTGGAGGAGTGCTTCACCTGCTTCCTGCCTGCAGCAGATGCTGCTGCTTGTCCTCAGGGGCAGGGAGCAGCTTGGGAGGACACAGCTGCAAAGGAGTCAGATGAAGCATCCTCCAGGACAACTGCACAGCAACGATAACCATCTGAAATAGTCGCTGTCATCTTTGTGTGGATTTTACAACATGCATAAATTCCAGCTCACTGAAATACTCGATTTTAAAGATGTACACATTTTTAAAACATCAAATCTCACCAAGAAAATTTAGAGAGAAAAGAAGGGGCACTAAGAGTAAATGTGGCTTCTTGTTGACTGAGACCATGCAGCCCAAGAAACAGTGAAACCTCAAAACAAGTATGCTAACACAAGCTCCTGAAAATGTAAATGCTTATACAAACATCTGTGCTACAAAATGAAGCTGTAAATCTTTGCCCAAACTACCTAAGTACTCTTTTTATTCATTCTGTCTACATGTTTGAATAAGAAAACCAGCAATAAATGCCTTTTCAAAGCAGTTAGTAGCTTGATCTTGCAAAAGCAGGTACGATGAAATGGCTCATAATAAAATTTCATCAAACTCAAGCACCAAAATAAAAGTACGAGAGGGAATGAGCACTCAACTATAGTGTACCAAAAGAAACCCTCTTTCTGTGTCTGGAGAACTGGAGAAGTCTGAAAACTCTTACAGCTCTTCGTATTGGGGCATAGCTAGAGTATCGATATCCAGTAAACTGACATATTCTAACTTATAAAACTGGCCCTCAAAAAGCAGTGCTGGGTTAATCCTTCAACCAGGTTTTGCCTCTACTACAGCAATGCTGGGAAATAGAAACTTAGAACATTTTGAGGTAGGAGAAGCTGAGTTAGGAGGATTCTGTTCTACACAGGTATCAAAATACCTCTCAGTTGCAGCTTTTGCTCAAACAGCCTTTCTTGTTGCAACCTCATCCTGTTGTGACCCGCTCTCATTACTGCAAACTAGAACTCGTTAGAACTTGGCATTTATGTTCAATGGGGAAATATTATAACCTACCTGAAATTATAACTGCCCAGTAGAGTACTTGCATATTAGTTGAAAACTGGTAATTTGTTTGATAATTGTCAACACTAAACTAATAGTAGATACTCTAAGTGAAGAATGATGTTCAAAAAAAAATAATACAGCCATTCATATTCTAATAAGCCATTTCTAATGAGTATTGTAAATGCTAACTGATAATTATTTTAGTAGGCATAGTCTATTTGCTTTTGTAATTGGGGTACTGAATATACCAGTAAGAGACAATATAAAGATGATATGAAAATTAAGTTATGTCGGGTGGAGGATTTTGCCTCACTATTAAGGATATCCGTTTGCATGTTTACACAAAAACAGAAGGAGAGATTATGTCAGCATATGCAACATATACATTCACATCAATTAACCACTATGAACATTTTGTCACATGCTCTCATCTACCACCAGTGCCAACCACATCGGTCAGAACGTTGTGACAATGTCAAGAATCTCACACTTGATGGAGGGCAGCAACTAGGAAAGTATCGTGTTTTTCCCCTCAAGAGTAACAGACAGCAAATTGAAGTAAGCCATTCAAAATATCTATGCAAAAGCAGTTCTAGGAATCAGAAATCACTAAGTATTGTATTAGAAGCCAGCGAAGGTGAAATACAGGGGGGTAAAATGCAGGGGGGCACAGGACTCACAAATTCAGTCTGACTGTCATTGCATGAGATGTAACCAAGAAGTAGGAGAACACAAAAGCATTATGAGAAATTTCACACAAGAAATTCCACTATATTCCTGAAAAGAACAACTTGCTAAAGGAAAATTATTATTAAAAAAAACCCCGCACCCAAACTCCCAAATCAAACAAAACCATTATTTGACCTTCTCTGAAATTGTGATTTTTTGCCCCCCTAATCTTTTCTACTGTCAAGCTCTAATTGGGATGAAAGTTTAGCCTCAGTGTATGTATTTTCTCTCCAAATCATCATGACACATTTTAATTGCCTTTATATTGATAATACTTATTTTGAAATAATAAGGAGGAAAATCAGTTGTATGCTGAAGCCTGGATTTCATCTGGGAATGGAAGAGTTTATAACAAATGAAACATGAAATTTGCTGTCAAATAGAAAGACAATTCAACCCGCTTAGAGATGAAGAAAAACAAACGTAACTCTATTACACTGGAGAGTTCTTGCCATGTCATTGCTTGAGTGACAAACAGTCAAACTGGGTTGATTGCTCTGATGCACCTCTGAGTAGCCACAAGCCAGCTGTGTCAAGTTGTTGTAATCTCACTGCTTGCCAGAACAGGGATGGTCAGTGCAGGACTCAGAGGCAAATAAAGACCAACTGGGCTGCTTGTATCCAGGAAAAGCCTTAAGAAGCAAAAGAATTAATCAAACCAAAAATGCAAATAGATGTGACTGCATATGAGAGTATACATGCTGGACCACAAAATAGTTTCTTAGCCAAAATGGCTAGAAGATAGAAGAAGTTTAAGAAGATTATTTTCAGTTATGTGTCAAACACCACAGAACCCACACAACACCAGCAGAGGTTTACTGTAGGGGCCATGAAGGGCTTGGAGATAGATACACATCACACACAAGACCCTTCATCCCCTGCAGCTGGGCACATTCAACATTGGCACCATGCAAGACCTGTGAGGCAAACCCAGCCCAGGTGTGCTGACATCTCTGCATGCTGCATGATTGGCTGCAGAACCACCCCCAGAACAGGGGACCCAGAGCCACAGTCCCAGGAGCCCCATCCTTCACACATCATGGTCTCTACAGGATGTGCCTTCGGAGAAGACCCCTCCTGAACCTGCAGCCATTCCTGGTTTCTCTGTCTCCTAGAAGCATAAGGCAAACAGCCTCCATCTACTCAACGCAGGGACAACAGGCTCCATCACAGGCAAGCACCTGCTACTGCCCAAACACAAGAAAAAGGCTGTTAATGACTGACAGCTCTGAAGAGATGTCACCTTAACTTAACGTTCTTCCCTGTCCTTGCCTCACTGAAGAAAGGGATGGAGAACAGTCTCAGCATCAGAAACTCTCCAAAGTAACTGATAAAATCCTGAAGTGGAGACTAGATATTTTTGGTTTTGCATACAAGCTAAATTTCTCATCTATGCTTAGTGAAAGCAGTTCCAACTAACTTCAAAGGGATCCCCTGGGTGACATTTTGATTCAAGCACTGCAAGTATCTAACCATTCTTACTGCTCAGAGGAAAGCATGTGGTTTGCATTAAAGCTACCTACAAATGTTCTTAAAACATTGTTTTCACATGGACTTTTTATAACTCCTTCTCTGCACAGGTGGTTGTGGCTTAGCAGGGCAGCGATCTTCAACCACCTAAAACAGGTAGCATTCGTACACATTTTCTCTTTACCATGGACCTGTTCCAAAGGTCACTAGGAATCTTACTTCCTTCAGCTTGCATATGAAGCTGTTGCTGACAAAGAAATAGATCAGTTATGAATACACATGCAAGCAAACTACTAGTGACGTGCTTGGAGGTTGCCTGTGTGCCAGGACAGAAGGAAGGCACGCACACAGCTTCCCCCTCAACTGAGCTGCTGAAAAATTTCAGTTTCTTGCTTTCAGGTGGTTTAGTCAGAGATGATGCACATTTGTCCACGCCTGAACTCTGCAGAGTGACTCAGGCCTGGTGCAAATACCAAACATGCAACGATCAACTTCGGTTCTAACCAAGCAACACGATGAACAATCTTTTCTGAAAGCTCAAATGGTCTCTGTCTCCTTGCCATCCTACAATATCTTTTTTCCTTTCTTGTAATGCTTTGCATTACCATATAGTCAACTTCAAATCACACTGATTATTACATTCCAGAATTGGCTATCATCTGCAAGTAACAACAAAATAACAAAATCTACAGCCAGTGCATAGGGAATCTGATTTTGTCTAACCTGAGCTATATGTGTTCACTCACAAAGTAGCACAACCTTTGGAACAGCAACTTAATAACACTAGTTTATTTGAACAGTGTCAATCATACCTCATTAGAATTACAAGTTAAAACACAGATTGATGCCCAAAACTCAGTCTCTGTAAATTGATAAAAGACAATAATTGTTAAAAGAAGAAAATCCAAGATTTAGCACTGAAGTTAGTAACATCTATCTAGCTCTCTGATGAGCCTGTAAATCAAATCAAATACTACAACTAGCTAAATACTTTTATATAGAGAGACAATATATTATCATATAGGCAGGATACTCACAAACATTTACTTATTAGTGCTCTTTTACTGAAAATAAAAACAAATTAAATTATTTTTCTGCTTAAAATGACCAATCTGACAGCATCAAGGTGTCAAGGTTGGTGTGAAATTACTCACCCAACTGTCCATGAGGACAAACTGGTACACTAGCCATTGTAAAACCAAATTACAGCATGTCCTATCCAATCAACTCTATTCAGGCAGAGAGATGAGAGAATGAGAAAAAGAACAAGAGAGACTACAGTTTTGTTTGACTACTGTATGTCAAGTATTATAGACCTCTGCTGTTAATACCTATTCTCTATTTCCAGCAGAGGAAATACTTTGGAAAAAGTATTTGGAACTCTAGTGTGAAAGCACCACAACAGTTTTCAGCAGATTGGTTTGTTCCCAAAATGAGCAAGATAGACTTTCATCAGGAGAACAATTTACCAGAATTTAGGAGGTTGCACCCCCCATCAGCAGCTCTGGTCAGCTATCACTTGGTGTGACCTGGGCACTGCTCTCCTGAATGGAGCCACTCTCAGTTGTAAAAGCTGCTGCATAAATGTCACTCTGTCCCAATCCTGGTGCCATGTACAGCAAAGACATCCTAAAC